GGGGGGGGGGGGGGTGTTGATCGAAGTCGAAGTGAGGACGCAATGATCAACTGTATCACCTAAAACGGCAAACAGACGTTGCAAATAGCTACTCGAGATTTTTTTAAGGATCTGGTGCAGATGAACCATGATGTGGACGTGGATACATATAACGTTGTTCACTTAGCAAACGTTTATATTTTACAGAACGCCATCATTTAACTTGGCCATCAAAAGATAATGAAACTTTTCGCCACTGATTCACACCAGGAAGTGAACATCCTATATACAATTTTACTCAAAACCAACACGCATTCTGACAGCAAATTATGCCTAGGACCAGTGCACCAAACTGGGAGCACTGAAATGACTGCAGACGATCAACACTGGAAAAGCAACCTGTTAGTCCTGATGGTCTCAGTCCCCCATCTTTAAAGAATTATTTTTAAAAAATGGCTAGCTCCGAAACGCACATTTTATAAGTCTCTTCATGGAGTTTTTAACTCCATGGTCTCTTGAAGAAAGAAAGGTTTCTAATGACTTCGAAAATGCTAATGGTTCCTAACTTTTGGAAAAGGCTATATTGAGATAACCGTTATGGAGAAACCGTGCTGATATGCTGTTCTGCCTTGTGCATTCCTTGTCTTGTATCATGTCTTGATAATATTAAGAAAGAAAACTTTTGTTTCCAATAGAGGTGTTAACCATGTTTTTGAAAGGGGTAGCTCGGTTGCTGTTACACCGGAACAGTGTGACCTCTGCAACAGGCTATGAGAGAGCCATACACTGGTCTTCTGCATCAAAAATATCTCCCAAAATAAAAGCAAGGACGAACAGCCGTTGAGCGTCAATAGAATAGGTTAAAATTAATCAAGCCAGCAGAGATAATACTAAGCAAACAGATAAAGTAAAAGAACTAGAAATATTGTCACGTACAGGTCTGACCATGCAATGAAGACGACCATACCAAGCAAAACTGGGAGGGGGGAGGGGGGCATGACTGAATAAACAAAAACAAACTAGACTCTCTTGAAGACCAAGTTTTCACGAAGATTTTAGAAAACAACAATGTACCCCTGAGTCAGAAGCAGTTTCAATACAAAGTACCAACCAAACAGTGGTTGTTTTGGAACAAAGTTCAACGGAAAAAGAAACAAACGAAGAGGCATGCCTGCGCGCACACCACAGAACACCCCAACACTCACAGCTGCACTGGCGCGAAATTCCACAGACGACAGACCTTATCCAGCCGTATATCCATCCGCAGTAACACCGTGCGGTAATTCAAGGCATAAGGACAGACAAAAATAGAACTTTGACATTCGGACGCTCCGCATGGAGGTGTAAATTGTTGGTAGATTAAAAAACAATAAATCTTAGTCCACAATATTATTAAATGTAGAAAGCATGGTACTATTTTCTGTCGGCAACTGAATATGCTCCGTCAAAGGTAGTGATACAACAGTCGAGGCTCACGTAAAATGGGCCGTTTCAGGTCATATTTGGAGATGTCAGCCAGCTTAATATCTAAAATAAGTGCACAAAGATGTGATAACATCGTAAATTTTGATACCTTGATGTAATAGCAGTGAAGTTATAAAGTGAAGGGTTATAGTAGGGTTCATTAAACAATAAACATTACATAATATTCAAAACGACGTCACACTTCAAAGGAGCCACGTGACAAGCTTAACTGGGTCAGTCTACTGAGGAAGACCAGAGTGAATGGTCGAAAGCTCTAGGTGAGAATTTTTGTGTTTTAACTTGAAACAAATATTCAAAAATTTGACATGGTAAAAACACCCTATCCATGTGATTATTGTAACGTACAGTTATTAGACGCATTTGAATACGAGGTTTCAATGTATTTTCTAGTAGTACCCGAGTTTAGGTATGTGATGTGATCATAGAACATCGAATGATATGTATGTATGCAGGCGTGGAGCTTATGAACGTGTGCTACCTTTGTACTTGACACTGTTTTTATGCTTAAAAACACTGCAAATGACAATTTCGTGAGGTTTTATTTGATGTATCTGAATAAACCTCAATATAACCACTCAAGGTCCAGGTGCATACTAGTATATTTTCATAATGTACTTATGAAATGGAATATGCTTTATACGTATTTTAGGAACGTTATTTGAGCTGCACTGCTTAGCTTCCAACGTTTCTTTGTAGTAGTTGCCAAAATGCTTCCTCGAAATAAACCTTGACAACAAAATGTGTATATTTCCATTTACGTTCGTGCTTAAATTAAAAGCTTAACGTTCAAAGCATCCTAGCGAAAATGGTATACAAATGCAATCATAGTCTTTTAGAAGTACAAATTACAAACTTATTATGAGAAAAAAAGTCAACATAAAAACTACCGGAAGAGCTAAAACTTTTATTCGTCTCTTTTTAACAACAAAACCTCGACTATTTCTAAAGCTCACCGTGCAGAGCATTCGTTCGTTCGGTCGAACTCTCAACGCTCGAATTCTCGATCTAACTCTCTCGAAGTCGAACCAAATATGGAAACCCTCACGTGCAGTCCAGTCAATCAGCGTGATTGACGTCAGCAGAGTGACCTAGTCTGCACATCTAGTTTGTGTCTCTTGGATAAACATTTTCCTGGACTACTTTCGTCACGGAAGTTACCAGCAAGACCAGACTAATTGGCATTCTTTTCGCCGCCGCCGCCGCCGGGTGTATCTGGTCAACACGATGCCGCACATCTTTGGAGCAGGTAAAATTCTTTTTAGTCTCTTAGTTTGCCAACATCAGGCGTATTTTTTTCTCAATAATGAACTGCACTTTTCAGAAAGAATCTAATGGAGGCCCCGCTATTTGGGTCCTGTTATATTACTAGTAAGCTCTACAAATCATGTGCGATCACAATGTTGTTTGATATGATATTTTTTTCTGTTTCATGTCTGTGTCTTTGTGATTTACTGAAAATCATGTCATTGCAAGTTTAAAGCCTTCAATACTTGAGCTTACTTTAATAACAGGCGAATTGCGACGGTCTGATTTTTTATCTTGTAATTTAGCCCCAGGTGACACATCTACGGAGCAAGACGAGACTGATCATTATTGGAGAGCATCTGCTGACGCAGCCGCAAAAATACCAAACCCGATGTATGTCTCCAGCACAGGTAAAACACTTTCTATAAACAGTTACCTTCCCTGTATCTTTTTTTATATCTTCAGCTCATTTGTGTTAAATGCTTTTTTTAAATGCTACTCAATAATGCTCCGTTTTTGTTCATTTATTTATTCATGCAATGTTGGTCATTTATATATTCATGGTTTCTTTACTTGTCTAGATGCCATATAGGTTTTTTTCAAAGGGTTATTGGCGGGTGACCAAAAATGTTTCAGCTTGAGCAAATATTGCTGGAAACAAAAAAGTTCATTCAAATATCCGAAATATGGAAACACTTGCGTTTCTTGGATTACTTACGTTGTTTTGACAGTTTCCGTCATATGCCTGTTTGTCTATTCATGAGAAGCTCAATTTGGCCTGCATGCCACTTTTTCATTTAGGTCATGAGGGAAGAGGTATTATATAAAGGGCCAGACAAAATATATCTCAAGAATACAGTTTACATCATTTTCAGTCTACACACATGTTGCTTATGTGCCGCCGCAACACTATGAGAATATTTTATATTTTGTCTTAAATCGTATCAAGATATCAAATCAGAGATATATATTGCGTGATTGTCATTGACTACATTATGTTTGTGTTATTTTTAGCGACGCCATAAAGGTGACATTATAGTATAGTATTATAGTATAGATTGAGTTGTAAATATTCTGAAAATTCGGCGCAGGCACCTCCTAGAGATATAATTTGCATGGCATTTGGTATGTTAATCGGTGTCAGCAAACATGCGACGCTGGACAGCTAGTGGCTTTTAATCTTACTGCAGTAAAACCTCATGTATACCCCAAAAACCAGTCACTCAGCTGAAACGTCTGACTGCTTCCAAACTCATTTTCCAGTTGGTTAAGTAGCTGCTTTTTGGCGTATCTTATTACCTGTATGTCTTACCTTCATCGACGAACCTCATATATGGAATGTAATGATTATGATTGTTTTCAGTGGTAGATATACAGATGGTGCAAAATGTCCGACTTCGTTTTTTATGTATGTTTTATGCACACGCCATGCACTAGTTTGTGTTTGCAATGATCATTTTTGACCTAGCTTCAGTGCACAGTAAACCAGTCATTATAGCCCTAATGAAGATGACAGATGGTCACCAAACATTGGCTCATGTAAAACGAATAAAAGAAATTTAATATTTTTATGATAATTTTTGTTTGGCCAATTAAATAGCAACCACGTGCGCTTACAACAAGACCAAGTGGTCCCACCGGTGCAAGAAGTTCTGGTTGACCGTCGGTGGACTGGTTTTCGCGGTCATGGCTATTGTACTTCCGTTCGTGGCAGGTGAGTTTTTTTTTTTTACAATCACGTATACGCATGCTGTAGTAAATTCATTTCTTATCGTGGTATATAGAAGGGGAAAGGTAATCTCCAAGCAGATCCTACGGTGGTAGTAGGCAGTACCCGTTTGGCAAAGCATCATTGTGGCTGATGTACTCTCCAAGCAGAGGTTTAGGCAGTGCAGCCAGCTCAAAATTCTTGCTTTATCTTCTTAAATTTACTCTATGGTTCACCACAAAACAAGGCTCATGAGAGCCACTCAAATGCTTTGGGTTACTGTACAGCCAGTGATGACAGATGTTTGTTGACCTTAGACTTGAAAACTGTAAGGTTATACCCATATCGGAGACACTTTTTTAAGTATTGGTATAGAAAGTAGCAAGCTCGACATTCCTTTTTTTTCTCTTTTTTTAAACAGTTAATGTGAGCATCCTTTCTGGGGAGATGAACAATATTTCAGTACGACTGGCCAAAGTGGAACGTAAGTAGTGTGTCAGACGGTCCTACTAAGTATCACAGAGTTAAAATTCTTAATTTTATATTATTTATCGAACGATTTATGACAATTCACTCTAGTTACAACTTACAACGTTTATTTCAAATACCCATTTGGTAGGGCCCGTTGCGGCTGCCGGGCCTCCGGGGCCACCAGGAGAAAGAGGGCCCAGGGGCCCGCCTGGCCCTGTGTCTACCGGGCCTCCTGGACCACCTGGTCCCATTGGGCCGCCTGGTCTTGCCGCGCCGTGCAAGCGCATTGAAGGTTAGCTATAGCTATGTTACCCCGGACGACCTCTTTGCACATTAACGATGGTGCTTGGAAAATACAACTTTTTGAACACCTCAATTCTTGGTTGATAAGTTTGCATGTATTTGAAGGCATGACCCTTCCTTGTCCTTTTATGGGCTGGTATCAGAAACTTATGATGTTGAACTCCGTATGTTCAGTGTTTTGCCCCGAAGGCTTCTGGGATGGGAACGGAATCTGCTACAAGGTGTTCCACACTCCTTTGACCTTCACCGAAGCGGCCGAGACCTGTCATCGAAACGGCGGCACCCTCGCCATGCCCCGAAATGCCCTGGCCAACCTTCTTTTCAGCGGAGGCCAGTGTTACAACTACTGGATCGGGTTGCACGACCAGCGCCTGGAGGGGTTCTTCGAGTGGATAGACGGCACTCCTCTTGGGACCTTCACCTTGTGGGGTTCCGGGCAGCCGGATGACAGAGGTCACGAAGATTGCGTCCAGTTTGTTCACTTCCCCGACAGAGCAGAGTACTTCTGGAACGACCTGCATTGCAATCGCAGGCTTCCCTTCATGTGCCAAGTCATCCCAGGTACGTTTTACCTGAACGTAACACTCATTAGCAACATTGAAACATTTCGTGGGGTCGTCGTGTGGCGTAACGGTAGAGTGTTAGCATTTTAACCAAGAGGTCCCGGGTTCGAATCCTGTCATGCCACCGATCCTGTTTCTTTGGGAAAGGCACTTGTCTGTTGTCCGTGTGTTTGTTTGAACATGGTGTTGAAATGACGGCAATCCCATTCATTCTCCCACAGAACAAACCTAGGCGGCAGGCCAACTTCTGACCGCCACTGCTGAAGGGCTCCCGGACCGTCCTCTTTAAAACACGTCAACAGGCAGATGTGGTCAATGAAGGGACTCAGGAAAGTGGTTACTTCATGGTATCTTCGGTTTGTTCGGTTAGACTCTTAATCTTAGACTCTCATGATGCATACAAAGATTGATCCATGGATGATGAACCTGTCATCATCAGGCAATTAACAACAATAGACGTACTTTAACAATTTTAATAAACTCGTAGTATTCATGATATGTTGAGACTAATTTATCTCACATAAGACCACGTAGTATGGGATGAGAACATGCTTTTCTAATAATTGGTGGAATACCTGGCATTTAGGTATTTCTAAAAGTATTGTTATGTGTGTAATGTACGATGTAGATTTCTTCCCTATGTCAGTACGTACTTTGCTAATTTGCTATTGGAATTCATTGAGAGTGTAGAAAAGGATTGATGAACGCTAACCGTGTATAATGCATCAGTCAAGGAACATACTAGCAATCATGTATCATTTCAGTGATATAATGATACAGTCGTGGAAGATACAGCTTTGTACTAGTAAGCGTATGTTTTACTTTGTGTTTTTGTTGACAGCAATGTATGCTAGGATTGCTACAGTCTGAGACAAATACAACATTTAATATTTTAATATCAGAATGACAAAATAAAAGGTTACATTTGTGACAAAGAGCTTAACTTTATGATCTAATGTTCCGACCCATTTAACAGTTGTATTTGATGTCTAAGTCCAATTCTTGGAAAATACGTTCAGAAGCATCTAAGTAATCCCAGCTATAGAGGCAATATAAAGTTACAGGAAAAGATTCATAAGATAATGAAGAGAAAAAGTGATGTAACTCGCTGAGTGCTGGGTTCGAATGCTCACAGGTGACCTGAAACATAGTCGAGTTTTTGTTGTTAAAAAGGGACGAATTAAAGTTTTAATTCAAATTGTAGTTTTCATGTTAACTTTTTTTCTCAATACAACTGCAGATATCAGCATGCAATAAGTTTGTAGTTTGTACTTCTAAAAGACTATGATTGCATGTGTATACTCTTTTCGCTAGGATGCTTTGAACATTAAGCTTTTGAGACGATTAAGCGCTTTAACGAAAGTATTCTTATCAAAGGGCCCTTTTTGTTCTTTATCATGTATTGGCTTCTTTCATGTTTTTCAATCTTGTTGATTTAAATCATGCGTGGGTGGTAAGCTAATCATTTTACTATAAAGAAAAAAATGATTGCATTTGTATACTGTTTTCCATACCTTTAATACGTAGCGCTGGCGACCAAAATGATGACGTGTTCAAATCATGTATATCGAGTTTGAGAAGTACCGTGATTACTGTTTACGCAGTGTTGCTTTCTTTCATCCTTTTGATGTCCAGTTTCGTAGACTAGTTAGTGAAGATATGCACATGTATTGCTTGGTTGCTGGTCTACTGTTGTTTATGAAATCTGTTTTGCTTTTATCCGTTATTTTTCTTAATTTCGTTACGAAAAGCTGTTCATGATTACTGCGTGGGAGCCAGTCAGGGCTTCGCTAGTCAGTCGACAAACTCCGTGCCTGGTGCAGGACGTGTTTTTGCTGTACAGAAACCAGACAACTGGCATCATGTCGGGAGGGCAGCAGCCGTCCCAGACTGGTGACACCGGAGGTAACAGGTTTTCTCTTAATTTGTCCAAGTCTTCATTTTCTATCCTTTTCTGGTGAGCAGTTATTTCTATAGTCGTCGCTACGTGTATGGCATTTTGCGAGGGAGGAGGGCCATTCCGGCTATGCCATGGTCAGTTCGCTTGCTTTCAAAGGGTGTATTTTCTACAATTAGCCGAAAATTGCAGTGAAGGTAGTGATGCTTAATAGTAGATCACAGAAGCCAGGCGACTTACGATATTTTGGTTGGTTTGCTTTGACAAAGATCAAAATGGCAGGTTTTTTCGACCAGGGGGATTAAATTTGACTATAAGGCCACACCAAGTAAATTTTATGGATGACGTCCTTTGGAGACCCTAAATCTAATGCGAGAGGGCGAAAAAAAAACAAGAAGGGCCCTAAAAACAAGATGCCTAGATAAGAAGTATTGCACTGCTGACAGGACCGTCCTGTCTGTTAATAGTTCCAAAAACGGCACTGTTTTGGAGCTATTGACAGGATTTTTTCAGTGCCATTTTTTTCCCATTTTTTAACCAGGCACAGGCTTTCGGCGTTACGGGTTTCACATCAATCTGACGATTTGCGGCACTGTCGTGACTCTTTGGTCATAGTTACAGGAAGTGGAATTTCTTGTTTTTTTTCTAGGAACAGGCCAAAATCAATGCGCGCGCGGACGTCATCCATAAAATTTACTTGGTGTGGCCTAACTTGGTAAACACATTTTAATGCAAATTTCCAGACGTTTAGAGAATTCGCTGTCCTCAAGTAAAGCAAAATTTTCATAATATCAATTTCAGCGTCCGAAGCTAAAGATTTGTCTGATGGTACATTTGAAGGTTCAAATACTTCATTTAATGCATGTATTATTATTTTGTAGCCATTCGTATATCATAGGAATGCATACGTCATTGATTTTGTTACGTTTCTTACCACAAGCCGCCAAATTTGTTTATTTTGTAAGCCTATATTCTATCAAAAAAGAAAGGTGCAGTACACCAGATCACAGTTGTTATTTACTTATCGTTATTATGATTTGCAGTTCTGCACCCACTTGTTGATTTACTACTGTTTATGGTTTGCAGTTTTGCAACCTCTTTTTGTAACGTTTTTGTTACATTAATCATCCATGACCTCTGACCTCTTCCCGTTCACTTAAGTTCAGTTTTCAGTTAATGTTGTGTGCGTTATGTTATTTTTTTGATTAAGACTCACACCTTTTGTTATGTTGGTTTTACTTTCATGTACATTGTTTTGTTCTGTTCTGTACATTTATTTCATTGTAATTTTGCGACTCCAGGAAGAATAGATTTTATGTAAATCTAATGGAGATCGAATAAACAAACAAACAAACAACAGAAACAAACAGTGTTGAATCGGCTAGGACTATGGCTATATCTTTGTTAGTTCAATGTGTGGCAAAGGAAATAATGGCTGATGGATTTGTTGATGAATACACACTACACAGTGTTGTATTTGCGTGGAATACACCGTATAGTAATGCTTATTTTCTACGTTTCCTCCCTCCAGGCGCCACACCCCAGCAGCAAGGCCAGACTAATTGGAGGTCACTTGCGGACGCCGCCGCGAACATACCAAACGCGATGTACGTCTCGAGAGCAGGTAAAAAAAGATTTTTTTGGTCATTTTTAAGGATGGATTACTATGACTCCTTCCAGGTTGTTGATATCGTAAGGAATGATTTAACAGCTTCCATAATTAAAGACGTTGATTCTTAGCATATATTGATAAACTTAAAAAACACTAATAGCATTTTAGGATAGTCTATTGTAGCCTTAAGAGAGGTTCCTAAGAGCAGGTCTCCCTCAAACACCCGAACGGGGTGGACGGCAGACGTATATTTTTATGTGCTATTTGAATTTTTTCTATTCTAAAAAAATTCCTCCCGTGACCTTGTCAGTTAACCTCTTCTACAAGATCTCCTAATTTTTTTTTGAGATCGGCACAAATTCGTAAAAAAAACAAAAAACAACGGAAGTCTGATGTAAGACCGTCTGGGGTCCAAACGGACCCCAGCCATGTATTTGCACTTTCCTACACACGAAATTATTCGGATGTCCTCAATATGTCTTCAAGGAAGCATTATTGCTTTAATATTATGAAGTTTGCCAAGTAACCTCCACCTCAGGAATTATTTCATCAGGTTTTCAGAGGTTTGACAATTTTACAATCATATGAGGTCAAAGGTCAACCCCATGTTCATGCCTGCAGGCCTCATCCTATTTTTGCATAGATT